AACCGGCACTTCATTAATTTTGTATCTTCAGATCCACTATTTGTGTGCACGGCACATCGTCAAATGATGCGGAATGGTTCTGAACAGCGAGAAATTAAGTCTCCGGTTGAGCTAAGTTTAGGGATTTAAACATAGGTGACAGTATTATTCGAGGATGGGATGAGACTTGAAAGAACTAGAAATAAGTTCTCTTAAAACAGAAGCCTAATGCCGGAAGCAAGGAAATACAACGAGGTCAGTGGGGATGGGCATGAAAGCGGTTAGAGTGGCAGGCGCTAGACACTCGCAATACAACTAGACTTCGGAAAGCAGGTGCAGATGTAGTCACAGAAGGTGAACGCCTGCATAATAGGTAGAATAGATGGTGAATTATGAATAAAAACACTGTGGAAAGTAGCTGTTTCACTTGCTGGTTGGCGCTATGGGGATAAAGCTGATGGATGTACACGCTAGGACCAGATAATAGGGCATTTGGGGTTGATGCACAAAGTAGAAGTGCTTGGCCGCGTTTCAAAGAAAGTGCCACGCGTAATCTGTGGCACGAATGGGTGCTCTGGTCAATCAACAGAAAAGTTAGAATCGAGAGTCTTTCGAAATCCTACATGGGATGATATAGTGCGAATATGTGAGGGAAGCTTGTTCCATAGTTTAAATGGGGAGGCAAAGGAAAAAGTTTTGTTTAAGGACAGTCCGACAGGTGAACAATGGGAGCAAAAATCCAGAGTTGCGGATGCTGTAGGGAGGGCAGGAAGAAAATTCAGGAAGTCGGCTATGTAAGCTCGCCGTAGATTAGGCGGTGAAGAAAGCCTAGGTTCAACCAAATGCACCTCGGCCCTAAAGTGATGGTGATAGGAGGGCCATGTGAGCGGGGACCGGAAACAAGTCAGATTGAATGAATAACGGTTGCACGGGGTGTTTGGTCGATTGCAGCCGAAGTTTGAAGCTAGAGAATAGGGTGAAATGAGGAAAGATAAGAAGGGGAACAGTAACGTCCGTTGGGTGCTAGTAGGCATCAGATAAAACGGTGTCCAGTAAAAAGTCCAAAAGGGAATCAAACTATGGTAGAGACAGGTGGCGGATGTGGCAAATGGAAATGGCAGCTTCTAACGGGACAGTGTGAATGGTATATTGATGTTCAGAGCAAGTGCGCTATGGATAAGCGGCGTCTGGGTATTTTATTGAGGTACCATATCAAGCAGGGGGCGTAGTGCGATGTTGTACATGCATGATTGGTGGGCTGAGGAGCGCATAATCGGATGGATTATATATGTACACATCGTTTTGAAGAAACGCCGACTTCGGTTTGGGTTTTGTTAGTTAGCGCTGGGCCAAACAGAACACCAGTCGTTAGATAGATCTGATAGAGTAGTCCGGGGTTGGAATTCGGCTGGCACGATATATAAGTGCTTGGAAGTAAAAAAGCAGGTCGGTAGCCCAACACATTCAGGTCGAGCGGGCATTTAGCACACTACTGTGGCTTGAAGCAAGTGAAGGGGATAGCAGTATATAATGCCGGGATCCTATACTTGCCCGCTAACCGTATCGTCATCGCACTCAAAAGTGTATGGGACCAAATTCATAGATGAGATCGGGGGTAGTTTGGTAAGATGTAAGGCTGCAGCAGTTTCACAAGTAAGCGAATTATCCACGGATTTTAAAAAAGTGTGACTGTGCGTGTCATTTCACAGCTGCTTAGGAAGATTGTTATATGTACCAGTGTAGTAAACTAGAAAGAAAAAGTGGCATAAGTTTGTACGAGCTGGGGAGCTTATTAGGGGGCTGCTGGGGTTACCGAATGTACAGAGAGGACGTTGATTGGCGTTTGGTCTAGCCTCTACTATGGAGATATTTTTGTGCAGAAGACGGCGTAAAAAAGTTAGATTTGGCTTAAACCGTCTGAGCAGTGGTGGTTCAAGGCCTGAAATTTGACAGCGAGATGGTGGGAAAGAGGGAAGGACCGTGGGAACATCCTTTTCGTGAATGGGCGTTGGACGCTTTCAAGTGCTAGTGTACTATCGTTTTCAAAAAAGTTTAGTGACAATCGGTAGATTTATTGCTGGGCAACGTTTTGCTTTTGACACAAAAGCTTCGACAGGTCAAGTAACTGGGTTCCGAGGTTGGTCGAAATTTAAGATGGAAGGAGAACCAATCAGCTCAGTAAAGCTAAATCTCTGTTGGGTGTCAACCGAGGGGTTTTAGTGTGTTAGAGTGGTTGAACAAGTGTTGGGTCGGTGGGGAAATCTACATGTGATCGGGTCCAGCCTAGGGTCTAGTTCTTCTGGCTCGGTTCATTTGATGGTTCCTCTTGAACTTCGTTTGAACCTTCTGTTAGTCTGTGTGGGTTGGCTAGTGCTAAGAAAGTTGTGTAAGAGGGATACTGCGACCTTTGGTCGGTTGGGGGTTACACCCCTTTTTTTTTTTCTAATGATCCTAAGTAGATTGAAAACCACACCGTCACGTGTCAACTCGGCTTATCCAAGACCGCTTTCCATACGCAGTTCCACAGGTGGTTGGTTTGTTAATTCTTCTTTTATGCTCACCAATTCTGGTGTGCAATTCCCTGGCAGTTTGTCCTATATAAACCTCAGCGCATTGCAGTTAATGTACCGCCATCGCTGGGTCTTTGATCAGCGTTTGGTTTTCTGCATCCCTTGGTGGTTTGTTAATTCTTCTTTTATGCTCACCAATTCTGGTGTGCAATTCCCTGGCAGTTTGTCCTATATAAACCTCAGCGCAATCGTTGCAGTTAATTTTGTACACACAGTCACTGGTCCTTTCAGCCGGCAGGGGATCTTTCAGTTGCACCAAAACTGACAGTAGCGTTTTTCCCTTCTGAAAAGCTACTCGAATGTTGGCTAAGTTCAACAATCTTTGATAACCCTCCGATGTTCCTGCTTTATATGGAGTGACTGCTGTGCCAATCCACTCCTTACTGGGTCTTGATACTGGAGCCAAAATCTTCCTTAGTTGACGCCTGATCAAACTCACTGGATATCCTATTTCTTGAAGTGTGTTGGCAATCTCGATTTGAGCTGCCGTCCGGTCGATCTCTTCCATGCACTGCGCCTTAACTCGACGGAACATCGACGAGAAAATACTGGCGTACACGGACTTTGGGTGTGCTGATGAATAGTTCAAGACGGTTCTCATGCCTATTGGTTTTCGGTAGATAGTCGTTTTCAATTTCCCACCAACCTTATGTGTTTTACGGTTCAGAAAGTTTAATGTGCCCCATGTGGACTCTATTTCCATGCTAAACTTAATGTGTGGGCTTAAACTATTGAGATAGTCGTGAAAGCTGTTAACGTCATCTCTTTTGACTACAACAAACGTGTCGTCAACATAACATACTACTTTGGGTATAAAATGAAGGAAATTCGGGATAGAATTCCAAGTTTGGACGTGTGCATATCTTAAAAATGGCGGCCATTGCATCTCGAATGCGAGAGGAGCGCAATATGAGAGTCGAGCCTACGTGCTCGGGCAACTTGGAACTGGACTTAGTGAGAACAGCTGAGTGTACAAGAATGTCTGGGATCCCTGTGGAGTGAGTAAAAGGATTTCATTAATTGTGAATGCATCAACCGGAAGGGAGCAGCAGCAGAAATTTATTTGGCTACAGAAGATGCCAGAGTGGTAATTATTCTTGTCTATCTTGATACATGCAAGGCGTTTAACCAACCTCTCACGTGTACTGCACAAGAAATTACGACCTACGGGGATTGGTGGCCCGCTAATTCGTAAGTTTCTTATCTTACTAGGAGGACCCAACTCACGAAGATCGGAGATTTTTCCTCGCCACCCCTTTCCATCACCAGTGGGATTATTTATGGTAGCGTACCTAGCCCGCTACTGTTCTTGCTATGCATTGTTGACGTTGCTGATTTGATCACCCAGGAATCCCTTTTTGTTACGAGGTGATATTAAGATAGCTAGCATATTCAGGGCCAGTGGCTCTCTTTTCTACTCCAAAGTGCAAGCCGTTGCAACCGCTGCCTTGATTTGGGTTGCACCACTCCAAGTCCGTTTCATCAGCCAGACATAACACACTCGTTCTTCCCTCGTGATGTTTGAAGCGACTACATACTTATTTAGTATAAAGACGTTTTCACCTTAATGTCTGCGATCACGACTAGCGCTTCTTGGTTATTTGGCATGAATCATTCGTTTCTGTAACCAGACACCACTGATCCGATGTCCGGTGACCCATATTCTTACTTTTCTGTTAAGTTAACCGGTTAGTTTCCGGTTCATTTTCAGTGCTTATTCACTTTCTCGGAATGTCATACCCGAAATTTTATTATTGTCTTGCTGTCCCTGTTCATATCAAACCCCTTATTTGCACAACGGACACTCTGGATCCTTCAACTGAGCCAAAAGCTAACGCTCCCTCCTGCCTAACATGACGTGATCGCCCGTTTCAAATAGTAAAACGACCAGCCTCCCCGCGCGCCACCTTGGCAGCTTAGTCCTTGGCTTCCAAAACTTGGGCACCTGCTCTTGTCTTGGATGTGCGCAGTCTGATTGAATGGCTTTCGGTGAACTTTCATCCATGCATATCGCTAACAATGATTTTCAGGTCCTAATGATACACCGTAACCTCAAATAGTCATTGATTGCTAGGTCAGCTAACAAAAAATTCATATTTTTATGGAGTCGTTTGGCTCGCTTCCCCCCCCTTTGGACATTTTTCTGTTCGACATTGTTTTATCTTATGTTGCCCGGAACGCTACTGCTATCATCCTTTTACAAATTCTCCATCATTCTTTCCCCTTCCAAAGCTTTGGGCTTCGGCTTTAGTTGCTTTAAACGCAACGTACAAACGTCATTCACTCAATCTTGTTGGTCCTGGGTCTACACCCAGACGGTCCTTGGAAAGAAACAAAATTACCCACAAAACCCATTAAACGGCATGTATTACAAGCACTGCACCCAGTCGTGCGCGTTTTTTCTGTGGCCAAAGCTCCGTGTGGGTTTTCAAAACTGGTGTTTTTCCGAGTTCAGCAACAAACGGATGAATGGTGAGACTTCACCGACTCGGGCTACCACTGGAAGTCCATCTGGTTTTGAGGAGGTTTCCTGATAGGTCGAAATCGAAATTTCGATATGTCGTCTATAGATCTATAGACGACATATCGAAATTTCGATTTCTTTTGACTTACAAGTCACGCAAAGAACACAATATAATGAATCCAGCAACGCATATTTGTCCGGAATCTGGCCGCCCTTAACACCCGAATGGCAGGTCAATTTGAGCGATGTGTCACACATGGGCTACGGATCAAACGAAACAACATCCTGGTAAATTAGAAAGTAGCCAATCTGGATCGAGCAACTTTAGCTCGACGACTCCCACCCCCTCGCGGTGATTCGTGAACAACCTTGTGGAATGTTATGTGATTACCCTATAAATACAGTTGTGATAAACTTCCTTTTTTCTACAGAGGAAAAGGTTGGTAGCCCACGTAGCGTAGATGGTCGTTGGTTTGTTCGCTGAGCTGGGCAATTTTGGTTGCGAACGTTTCATCACCAATTGATGTGACATCATTAGTGCGTGTCAATGAGTTGGTTGGCCTAATCTGAATCGACGTTCAAAAGGTAATTCAAGAAATTTGAAAGCATGTTTCAAACCGACTTTGCTGAATTTGATTATGAATGGAAATGTAAACTGTTGCTGAGGAAACTGGGGACGGTTGAATATGATCGGCCCACATATTTCCTAACCCCCAAACTTCCCCGTGACCTTAGCTTCGCAGATACTGTCAACATCTTGGCCCAACTATTCGGTGAAAAAATCCTTGTTCAGTGTCTGTCATCAGTGCTCTAGGACCACCAAAAAGGATACTGAAGACTTCGCCACATATTCCAGTGTGGTAAGCAGAGAATGAAAGCGCTTTCGGTTCGGCATCATGACCGAGGTTAAATTCAAGTATCGCAACCTTGTGGCCGGTCTTCAATCGTCACATAATGGGGATATTTGGACCCGGCTGCTGAATAATATTGAACAAGATCCGGAGCTGACGCTTCATAAAATTACCACTGAATGCCCGCATATTATCAATCTTAGGACTGGGTGGCAGTGATTGGACATTCCAAGTTTTCTCAACCTGATATTGTATGCAAAACAACTTCCGAAAGGCAATCAAATTCTAAACGATCTTCAAGAAAACCACCCACACCGCGTAGTAATTGTGGAGAAACCAAATGCGCAACATGGGCAGTCGAAGGGGTCAAAAGAAGAATGCCACATGTAGCAATGGCACACTGGTTACACTACAACTTGACAGAGGCTCCGACCTAATCCTGACTCCAAAACCAACCTGGAGGGCGACCAGTGGAAAACACAATGTGAACGTCCATAATGCTTCTGGTGAGAGCCACAAACTGACTGGGAAAAATGAAGTGTCCCGTAATGTTCAAGATGGTTTAATTCGCTGTTACTTGCTACCTTCCGAACTATACGGGCCTTAATCTATTAGATCTAGATTGGATTATTGAGCTTCAACAACCAACCCCGGAATGCAATCTGTAGCGAAAGCGCTGCAGGGAGCTGCAGTAATTTCACGGGAACATCACACCCTGAAGATTTGGCCAAGCAAGAGACCAGAGGGGGCATACGGGACGGAGTGACTATTCAGCGCCTAGGGTCTGGCACAAGTAACCCCCTCACCTCAGTCCATTTTGGCGAATGCTGCCAACAGCCTGTATCGATACGCCCGCGTCCAGAACCCTTTAGTCTACAGTCTCAGATCCATGCGGATCGTTCCACTACTATCAGGAGAGTCAAGAAAGGGGTCTTGCAGAAGAAACACTACAACAGCCACACGGGTAGATACCTATTCGAGGATATGGAGAATGCTCTCCACGGTGGAAACAGAGTTGGACACTACGTCAACCACGAGTCACAAATCGGATCATAAACTCGGTCACGTCAAGAGAACCGACATCAGACAACAGACTGCAGCTCCGTAAGGCAACCAGTTCACATGAGACACCAGACAGCCGTGATATACCTTTGAAGTGGAGGTCACCAGATCCCAGATAGGGATGCTCACAACTCCCGGGACGAACCGACATGCGACGGCACCTCCATGAATAATCGCAGCTGATTTCAGAGCCCCGGTCAGTTAAACGGCTTTCTCAAGTGGGAAGTGTCCGGAGGCCAGCAGCCCCTAATAACCGAACAGCACGTCACTCGGACGGATGTGTTACGTGCGGGCAACGGAGCAAATGAAAGCGATGCTTGATCTCTTTCCCCTGGAGTACCGTCGCCTCCGAGGGGACCTAATTCTTACTTACGCCCTGTTTGAACAAAGCTTGGCAAACAGGTTTTTTACCGTTGACCCAGCAAACACCCGGCGGGGACATAGTAAGAAAATCTTCAAGCTCAGGGCACACACATTCATTAGACAAAACTTTTTTTCATTTCGGGTAGTAGCTGCGTGGAATGACCTTCCTCCGACGGTTGTACACGCTCCTTCTCGAACCCAATTTAAAGCACTATTAGACATTTATCTATGCGAATCCTCGCGCTGGTGAGCATACTGCCCCGCGCTGAGAACATAAAGAGCAGTGCTACACCCTTTTTTCACTTGTGCCTTTCAGGTGAACGACAGCCACTGACCGACAAGAACAAAACCGACCCGGGAAACTTGGGCAAAAGCCTCGATCCTGTGTATCAATCCGTGAAATCCGTGGTCAGAATGCCAGCCAATCTGGATCGAACATCTTTAGCTCGACGCTTCTCAACCGTCACGGAGAATCACGGATTGATGCACATGATCGCCAAGTTTTTCGGGTCGTTTTTGTTGTTTTTGTTAGGCGGATTCCATTCGCTTGGAAGGCAAAAGCGAAAAAAAGTGTAGCACTGCTCTTTGATTTCTCAGCACTGGACAGTAAGCTTACCAGCGCGAGGATTCTCATAAAAAAGCGTTTAATAGTGCTTTGAACTGATTCTAAATGGAGCGTAGACAACCGTCGGAGATGGGTTATTCCAGACAGCAGCTACCCGAAATGAGAAATTTTTTGCCCAGTTGGAGTGTGCCCTCCGAGCTTGAAAATTTTCTTACCATACCCCCGCCGTATGTTGGCTTGATCAACGGCGAAAAGCCTGTTGGCAAAACCCTGTTTGAACACGACAGAAGTCGACGAGTTTCCATGTGAAATAGATCCAGCACCGCAGGACGCGTTTCGTAGTCCACGGATTTAAGGCTGGCAACAGTTTTCGTTGCAGCCCGCTGAACACGATGAGTGAGGATCACGTCCTTCTTTGGTCGTATTCAAGAAGCAGTTTGAAGTAGGTCCCTTAGAATATTTGGAAGTCCATGCGAATAGTACAGGAGAAGGTGCGCCGAATCTTCCGTGGAACGGCGAATACCTTTTAAACCGACTTCTCATGGTGCAATGAGAAGGACATGTTTGAAGGGAGACAGATACCCAAGTCCTTTTTGGCACCTGCCCTCGTGATGTCTCATGCTCCATTCTCACCATGCACAACAAAGGCGCTCGCTGAGTCCCCTCCGAATGACATATGGACGCACTTTTCGCCATCCAGAAGAGGGTGCCAGTCCAACGACCACTGCTTTGCAGTGTCTTCATCCATTTGGAGAGCATTGGCATTTGAACTCCAGGACTTCAAGTCAGCTGCAAAAAGTAGACATGGACTTGAAGGAATGTCTGGAAGATCACTGGCGTAGATCAGAAACAGCAGTGATCCCAAAACCAGACCCTTGAGGAACTCCAATGGAGACCGGCGCCGGAGAAGAGTAGGTTGAGCTTACTTTCAATCGCAGTGCTCTGTCTGATAAGAACGTCTTCATTTAGAGTCGAATTTCCTCTTGAGTCCCGCCGTAAGACGAGTTTGCGGAGCGGCGAGGTGTATGAAACTCGGTCGAATGCTTTTGAGAAGTCAAAAAGTATTGCATCCGATAAGAGTCCCTCGCCCTTAGCTAGGGTTAAGCTAGCATGTTCATCACGCATGAACGGTTTGGGAGGAATCCGTGTTGAACTTGGGATTAGGGCTGGCCTAACTACCTAGCATATATCAATTGCTACGCCAAGTGGTGTTCGCACTTCCAGATTTCTGAGAAAAAGCCTCTATTAACGAGCAGTAAGACTACATTTGTTGACACTTTCTAATATATTTCCCGCGAATTTCCCCCTCAACCCAATGGTAAAGTTCGCAAGACTGAAGCAAAGTAGTCCTTTTAGGAGGGCGTTCCCTATTTGGGGAAACGGCTTCGGTGAAGTATTACATTAACGCGGAACCTCAATATTTCAGGTTCATTTGTGTAAAAGTCATGTCAGCAATTGAGTCTGAAGACATTGCAACTCTCGTCAAGCAATCACAGTCCCTCTGTTTTTTTTATAGCTGATGTCTCTTCGTCTTGGAGATCAATATTGACGCTTCAATGTGTATGCGTGTATCTCCCGCTGATTCAGGAAATAGTGGTATACTCTTCGTGGGCTTCAATCAGGATTATGGTAAGTTTGAGCAGCTCATCTGTTCCTTGGGTAACGGTGCACACGGCTCAAGCCCGAGCAGTTGATTACGTATTTGTATGTCAGCCATACGTCTGGATTGTTGATCTTCCATGGATTTCTAAAACGTATACATGACTGTTTTCCGAGAGGGTTTCCCGAAAAGAATGAAATCCCAATAATTCAGTTTAGCGAACATGTATTCGGGAGGTCCGGTTGGGCTTTTACAGTTACAGGTTGATGTGTGAACACAAAAGCTGGACGCAAAAATACAGCGTTGGATTAACGGCAGATGAACTCAAGGATTCCATCCATGCGATTGGAGTGAATTCGCTCTCAGCTGGTCACGTAATGGTCATTCCAGTCGGGCTGAATGAGTAAATAGTTTCTCCGAGCATAGAATAGCGCTCGGTAGTCCGACAGCGATGGATTCGGTCATGTTGGATTGATCCACTGGAGCCCGTCTACTGATATTAAATGATTCGGGAGGTTTGACATGGCGGCTTGTATGTAGTTAGTGATGTGCGTTTGCACCGTCGCCTGACTTTTCGCCCCTATCCGGAGCAACTTTTAGTGATGCTCACTGATTGTTTGTGACACATCGGATCGTACGATTGATGTATTTTGTGGAACATACGCAAACAAGGTAGTGGATCATCAGTGAGGAATTGAGGGTTAATGTGTTTTCAGGAGTAGTAATGAGCACCAGTGCACGATGTTTCATCCGTATGAAATGTTAATAGCGCTGTTTAATTTCGTGTACTGGTCAGTCCTCGTCCGTCCACCATAGATTATTCGTCCCAGAGTGGTACCAGTCTCGTATCTGGGAATCCCATTCAGAAAATGAGAGCTAGTTACCTGTCCCACATTGGATAAATGGGTGTGGAGCGTCGAATCGGGTAAATTAATCGTCAGTGGTGATTTTGAACACATTGGCTGCAACTATGTAGCGCTGGTGAGGTTGACTTGCATAGGATTAACTGAACAATTTTCGGGCTAAGAGAGGTCCGCTGAAGTGAAGCCATAGTTACTCCATCTTGTCACTTACAAACGATGTCGCTGTACATGAATTGAATATTAATCGTGCACAAACGTGGTTTTATAGGAAGTCAATTTGTGAGCACTGAATGTGTAATGGTTTATGTCAAGGGCATGTCGAAGGGAGAGATAATTTTGTCCATCACTCAGAGATTCTGGGTCGAGTCACTGAATTAAAATGTTTCGTAAACTGTATGTATTGTTGTGTGGGTATAGGTTCGAGGAGCCTGTATGGTACTTGGAATCCATCACGAGTCAGAAAGCCTAAGGCTGTTTACTTCCAGAAGTTCTCTGTATGTTTGAGACACTTCGTCTGTACAACTTCACCGGCAACCTTATGAGTAGTGTATTACATCTATACGGGGACCTGTTTTGTTTCATCGTTACGCCTTTTGTGGTACTGAATAGTTTGCGAAACCGCCTCAAATGGCAACCGCTCACTGTCCTGCTTATTGCCTTGGTAGCACTGTAATTTGTTCGACTTTCAAGGAGTTCAAGCCACATCGATGTGTCATCAGTAATGCTGGTCTGCGGTCATTTACTCTTCCCCACTTCCACTACTTCTCAATTCCCAGGTTGTTTCGCTGTGGGAATGCAAAATGGATTTCGGATTTTCAACGCAGACCCGCTGAAACAGTTGGAACGTTACGGTGAGTGGTGATCAAGGTTTTGTGTTCTACTTGTAAGCACAATTTTTCGTCATGATGGTGATAATGGGGAATACCTTCCGCAGCGAAGCATCTTGCGTGTCTGTCCATCTGAAACATGGGGCGAATAAGTTGAATAGAATAGAATAAAACAGTTGAAGAATAGAACAAACGAGAGGTTTAGATGAGATCAAGTGACAGAAAATGTCAAGGACAAATGGGGAACGAGATCATCTCACATTATGCTAGCGAAATATCGTTGACATGAGTTTACAGATATCAACTAGAATGTCTAAGTGTGGTGTGTAAGCGTCAGCCACATTAATTTGTCTACTTATAGTACACCGATGTGTGCAAAAGCAGTTGAGTGAGTATGTGCATCCTTAGAGTGACCGATTTTAGTGCGAATGGTTGGATACGATGAATGGTGCGATGAATGGTTGGATAGGCTTTAGAGGCAAAATAATGTTAGTGGTGAATCGGCCTTGGTCCGTTCACTTAGTCTGTTGATGTGACTGGACAGAGTCAACGTCTTATGCTGTGATCGTTTCAGAGAGGTTTGGTAAACAACTGGTTGATTTATTGCTGTCGTTATGAAAAGACATCTACTAAACCCTAATGAGACCGTTATTTTCTCTCGAGATCGTCTAAGCAGAACTATAGCCGCGATTGACCACCCTGGTGTTGGAAGTAAAACTATAGGGAACGGAATAATTTTTCTGCATAACGACTGGTGTTGTTACTTCCCGACCTCCACATTCCATCCTCTGAATTAGCCAGTCCTAGGTCGTTGGAGATCATTTCAAGAAATATGTTGTTAGCAAAGGGTTTGCTGTCGGATTATGCACGAAATGTCACAAAAACGTGTCAGACCTATTGCAGGGTTGCCATTCTTAGGAGAAGACTGGGCCATCATAAGTAATTTAGCGAAAATGCACCAGTTCAGGCTGTAAATAACTTGTGAGAGCGTAAGTTGTGCAAATAAGTCGCCCGGAAAGATAGTATCAGCGAAGATGAAATGGACGGACGCAACCAAAATTACGGCATTTAAAGGGCAATCACAACTATTCACTGCTTTAGAGTATTTGCACTCCACTTACATTCGCAATTCATGTCAGAGATTAAGATGTTTGAATTCAAGCTAACCTAGATGCAAAGCTGATAGAGTAACGGACAGACTGCGTTTTCCACATAAACGTTAGTTGTATTAAGCGCTTCGTACTTTAAAAGACTGCCTCATTCGGAGAGACAAAACAATATTTACTGGCTACAGCTCCCTTGTTCAGGTATCAACATGATTTGATTATTTTTGAGTCGTTACTTCCCACTGCAGAGCTGGACTAACAAAGTCATTGGAAACAGATTACCTACTGACATACCCAGTACATGGCTTATTTCCTCCACCGTGATTGTGGTGGTCCCTCCGGAAAACATGGCGTACCTCAGCTGATGTTCAACGTACTAATTGGTTACTCGTTGGTTTGCCAATCACTATACCATTTTCTGTGAATTGGATGGTTTTTATTTTCAAATAGACATGTTTGATAAAGATCCACGTTTGCCTGTGTTTTCGCTATTTATAGAATTCGATGTCCGCGACGGCACAGGCGTGGGCTATCTGGAAATGCTATTTCGAACCAACCTCCTCGGGGTTCTTGGTGGTGGACACCACGCGCGGTTACCCAGCAACGTCGCGTGCCTTTGGGATGGTTTGAAACAACAGTTTCTACTGGAAATTGCATGCTCTTCAGACGTCAAAGCTATTCGCCTCAGACGAGATCGGTACGTAGTTCTAGTGGAGCGTAATCCTGATCGTTCAGTAGGTTGATCTTGTTTATTGGTTTTTCTGAATTCAGTGACAGTATTCTACGTATCCCGTTGACGGAGCACTTTTGTAACGGAACCATCTTGGACACCCATGACACCACCGTTTTTTAATTCCAGCTAGTACTTTTGTCTCAGTTATTAAACGTATTTCAGGGATTTCTGCTTGGCATCGGCCGGGACCTACAACCTATCGGTTCATTAGACTGGATTAGATTCATCATGTCCATCGATAATCTCTTGCACGAAGTTCGTCCACTTTCATCCATTTTTTATAACTCGGACTTGGGTGAAGGTTTCCAAGTGAATGCATTCTGACCATTTAGCAGCTACCCTCGTCGGGTAGTGTGATTTGAGGCCATTGGTAAAGCAAAACAATTCGGAATACGTAAAACCTTCAAACACAAGGTAAAATGGGTTGCGGATACATAATCTAGAGGTTTGCTCCTGTGAACCTGCGGTCTACGTTTTCTTGGAACCTCGAAATTATTCTCGTTGAGATCTCTCGTCTCTCGTTAAGCGTATGCAGTTTGTTTGTTTTCTGGTATGAGAAGGTTGCGAAATCGGTCATTCGACCTTTGATATTTTCTTAATCTTTTCAGCTGTTTTTTATTGCTTTTTGCTAAGAGGGTTGCTCTAGTGCGCGTCATATTGTGTCTTCACTCGTAGTCTGCGCGAACTACAAATAGACACGGGCCAATAAGGAACGATATATGAAGTGGGGCGACTCTAAACACTTCCTGAGCGTAACGACCATGGACACGTGCTGAGTGGCTGATGGCCAAGTGGGTGGTAGCCTAAAATCTGTACTGATAGTCCCTTGTCGACTCTAGACAAGACCAACCTTCCTCCAAGGGCTGGTACCAATGAATGCAAGATGTAAGAAGGCGGTTATCTGTCTGACGCAGAAATCACCAGTGGACGTATGGGATCGAGTAGAAAGACATCAACAGTGGCTCAGTGAAAAGCTTAGGGGTTTAAGATTATTTGGCAGTAGCTTAAGATGACGCGAAGCCCGAATACTCTCGTTCCTGTAGGGAATCATCAACCACACCTATGCTATTCGTTTATCAACCTCCATATGAACCTGCACTAGCCAAGATAACATACCTCCTTTATAGTCGATGAATATGCACCAAGCAACTGTAGTTTGGATTTGGTGGAAGATACTTTTCATCGGGAACTAATCACCATTCTATCCAGCTCAAGGAGTTCAACTATTGTCCTAGTTGCTGGCGATCTCAGTGTGCAAATAGGACGTCTCAGTTCATCAGCGGCGGGATTTGGTGATTTTTTCAGCTTGAGCTCGGGAGGAAATGACAGTAGTGATCGACTTTTGCAGTTTTGCACCGATCACCAATGGTTCTTCAGTGGTGCTGAACTCAGGCACAGCAGACTATCATGTTCTGTATTGATGTATCGATCAGACTTGTTAGTTACACCGGAACCGTGAAGACATGCGACCTTGAGGAAATTGCACTGGAAAAGACTAAACTGTTCCCTGATGTGGATTCAAATGAACCAGAATGTGAGAAAGAGCGAATATTCCAATAGGATATTAATGAAAAGTTTAAATGGAGAATACAAGGTTTCATTCTAAAGGATAAATTGCTAGGAAAATTGATTTGTTCTCCTAAAACAGGCGGCATTGCGCTAGCCGGTGTACCCCTGTTGACAGACATTCACTGAACCAGATCTATCACATTTCTCCCGGAGAAACCGAAGAAGCCACCTAAAAATCCATGATTCATAAATTTCAGCAATCTTGCCAAACTAGCCTATGGAAAGCTTTAAAACACGCGTCCTCACGAGGCCTCAGTTGTCATATAAGAGATGGTATTCGCACCATGAGGAGCTCGGCATGTGATGTTTTTGCAGGCTCCCGTAATAAGCTTCGGATTTCAGAACAGTCGTTGTGGTTGCTAGATGTGGGACGTCGTACCCCTTCGAACACAGCGTAATTCAACCAGAAGGACTGTCGGACTTCAGCTCAACCATAGTTTGCGTGCGAGTAGAAAAACCTGGTAGAGTCAGAGGTCTTTGCAAATGGAGCAACCTAGTGCTGCTTGTAATGTCAGAAGACTTCAGCTGATGTGCAAAACGGACTGACTACCGTCATACCGTCTTTTGGCATGCGCCTTGCAACATCAAAGTGCAAAGTCATGCTTCTGAACGTACGGTCTCTGAGCATACCCGTAGCAGTTCAAGGAGAATCACTGGATGTTGTGGAGAATGCTACATACCTCGGTAGTTGAATTAGCTCTGACGGAAGTGTCAGATGAAGTCTAGAAGTGCAAAACTATCCACGGATGGAATCACGTTTGCCAACTTGTTTCATTTGTGGCGTCAAACAGCATTTCACTGAGTGTCAAGGGCCGCGTGTTCTAGGCTACAGTAAGGGATGTGTTGTTTTGTGACTGTGAGACGTGTCCTCTGCAGACAGATGATGTGAGACTTCTTCAGGTTTTTGACCGCTGGTACGTCAGAAACGTTGCTGGTGTCGGTTGGCTTCAGCTTGTTGGTAACGAGGTGATTAGAAAACGAGTATGTGGTTTTGCAGCAGGTACTTCAGTCGCGGAGAACATCCAGCACCACCAACTGCGGTGGCTCGGTCATGTGCTACGCATGCCGAAACACCGTCTACCGAGACGCGTGTTGTTCTCCGTGCCTCCTTCAGGATGGCGCAAACTGCGAGGTGGGCAGAAGGGTGTGAAATATAATACGATGGGTTTTTGTGTTGTTGGCGTTGTGCGTCTTCCAGAATGGGGCCCCCGTGACTCCGCCTTCGTTTGGCTGGTGACTGCAAGAAATGGCGGCTGATCGATGTCAGTGGCGTTCGTGCTGTTTGTTTCCTTCCAGGTTGATTGAGCACTGGAGGTGTAGGTGACTCGGAATGCTCGATGTACGTCATCACCCACTCTTTCCTTCTTTCCACTCTTGGGCTTGAAATATAATTAGGTGACCTTCATGGTNCAACTGCGGTGGATCGGACATGTGCTAAGCATGCCGAAACACCATCTACCGGGATGCGTGTAGTTTTCCGTGCCTCCTTCAGGATGGCGCAAACTGCGAGGTGGGCAGAAGGGTGTGAAATATAATACGATGGGTTTTTGTGTTGTTGGCGTTGTGCGTCTTCCAGAATGGGGCCCCCGTGACTCCGCCTTCGTTTGGCTGGTGACTGCAAGAAATGGCGGCTGATCGATGTCAGTGGCGTTCGTGCGTTTGGTTCCCTTCCAGGTTGATTGAGCACTGGAGGTGTAGGTGACCCACTCTAAGGCTTGAAATATAATTAGGTGACCTTCATGGTTGTACGCCAGTGAAACGTCAGTGCCAACACAGATGTTACTATGTGACGATGGTTCACTAATGGTGCTGGGTCAATCCAACCAATGGCATATTGCTCCAAAGTTATGCTCACATGTGTTTACCAATGGTGCTGGAAGATGTAGGCACATTGCTCTTGGATGTTTTCTCTGAAGACAGGTCCTTTTACAATAGATCCTCGCCCATCCCATCACTTTCCACTCTTTAGTAGGGCCGTGATCGTATGGCATAAGGGCACCAGTTTTCACCAATATACTACGGTCCGTGCTGCTGCTGTTGTTGTTGTCGGTCTCTTGGATTATCCTATGAGTTCGTTTCAGAGCACAGGCGCCCGTCCATTTGCTGCTTCACTATATCAGCCATTTTTCCCATGGCCCTTGACTTTGTTGCGACAATTTGTTGCCTTATACAGTAGCAGGAAATACCACATGCTATGGGAGTCAATGTGTCTAAGCCGTTGTCACATGCGGCATCATGTGATCCTTTTGCTATTGGCTGTCATGTGCTCTTTGTTTTCGATACTACCTTGACTGCTGGAAGCATTGTATTGTAGGGTGTATGATATATGTAATTCCGAGACAGCAATGGTATCACTAGTGGGCCAAAACTGTACTCAGTTTTTGTGCAGCAGAACGAATTATTGCAGAAACAACCTTTATCCCCAAGTAGTCTTACGCACACTGTTGTGTGCTACTCAGTTCCTCTACGTCCTCCAACGTGTATGGTTTGGGGGTTGCCCTAAGAAGAGGATTGGTGAAGAGTCAGTCCAATATTTTCAGCGCATATTAGAAACGTTGCACAGTGATTTATAAAAGGCTTCAGGAGAGACTATCAGGACATATCGTTGAACTGTATCTGTCAGCGAGACGGTTCCCTGGGATGGTTGCATAATTTTGTCGCGCGCATTTAGTGTTTTCGCGCCGGCTGATTAGGGACTATTGTCGGAAATTCAGGACGCGACTTCCGATAGGATTTTCAACTGCTGACCAAAAACTATCTACTCTTATTGACCGGGAGTAGACTGATGTTGAGAAGCGTGGTCCTTCAACTTTGTCACCTGTGCGTACTTGCCCTTCGTCCTCATAAAGGTCGTTGTATTTCCATACTAGGATCGTTTATTGTTTTATTTTTAGTGATTGAATGTTCACCTTGTGCCAACGCGATTGACGCCTCAAGGCTGTAACGGAATGCACGGTTATTTCATTCTTACTGTGTATCAGCTGCACTGCCGCTCGCAAATTCAGCCCAAACCTCCAGTCTTTGCGTTGTCGTAGATACTTGCGGGATTTGTAGAGTTTGCATTCCCATTACTCGTTTGAAAAGTCCTCCTCCTGTGTTGGCACAATATTCTGGAGAGTTTGCGATAAAGAGAAAATGCTCTGAACTCCAGTTGGTTGACTGTTAACGAAACCACATAAGGCCTTATGCAGCTCCGCTGGACTAGCGTTCACTTTGACATTCACTGTGTTGTGCAGGAGTTTAACTCCGGCGTACGGTAGTGTGAGCTTGATTAACCTCGAAAGCCGGGTTCTTGCTAACTGCATTCGGTCAGTTGCGGTATCTTGTCGCCGCCTGACTGTACCTAGTCGTCGGTCAGTTTTTAGTTGCGTGATTGACTGTAATCAGTAGGAACACACCACAATGTGCGTCCACAAAACGTGTCGTGAAAGCTGCGTCCTGATCAGGGGGTCACTATTTCGATCAGCAGCCAATTAATCTCAGTCATATGAAGCAGTATTCAATTATGTATTGGTACGAAACTGAGCTCAGTAGTCGACAGCCTAACCAATTAGTTCGCTCATCGGATAGGCATAATGAACTTACTGTACGAAACGCTTCCCTTCACTTCAGAACTCTCACACTTTCACTATCTGTCACCCGAAATCACGGTTCACTAAAACCATCATCAGTTTTGACTGGTTATGGAACTCATTTCTACAAGACCATGCTGTGTGTTGTAAGGACGTCAAATAATAACTTTTCCGGAGCTACACTCGACTGATTCATGCCCACAGAACCTCAGATGCTTCCAGTTCACAGTCACTGCCGTCGTGATCTTCATTAGCACCCACTAATAAGTTACTCTCAGTTGAGTCAAGTGAATTACAGTACTTGAATCGTCGTTATCATTCGTGGATGGGGAAATTACGCGTGCCTTCTACTATGCTGGTATGAGAAATGTATACACTGCAGCGGAATTCGCTTGATTAGACTGTCTGACCAATCTACCTAGGTAATAAATCAAGAATAACGTGTTTACTACCTACTCTTTACGGTAGTACATAGCGGAGATTTCTGAGGGCTGTAACAAGTTACGTAATAAAAAACTGGTTCCTCAACTTGCGTTTTAGAAGCAGAAATGTCCAGCAACCGGTAACCACACGAATGCGATCGATCGGCCAGGATGCAAATGATGCGCAGAGTCGACCGAACAGAAGATAGTATCCCACACGATCATGAACAGGAGAAATTAAAGCTCACTAATGATCTGGACAGTCCAGACGACTGGAGTGGCTACTGATGTGGCATTTTATGGTAAATAAACATCAGGTGGTTCAACCACACGAAATAATCACGATCGGTTGCCGTATCATGTAATTTGACGATCCTTATTCATCTTTTAAGAATAAAGTGAACAAATGATTCCTCAATATATAACAATTATCCGAAACCCCTGTAGCCGAGAGTTATTCCAGGTCATCAACCTGACCAGTCTGTGTAGTGGTAATTAGCCCGTCATCCGGATTATTGAGAACAGCTCTGCTATCCACTCAGGCATGAAAGAGAAGTCAAAAAGAGATTACCAGATGAGCGATCTCCATTCCTATATTGCGACAAAACGGCTTCCCTCAATAAATACGGGGTTTCGTTACGTTGTTTGATTTCATTACAGCCGATTGTTATCATTCAAAGTACTGATATGCACGGTGCCTAGGCTAAGTTAATCAATGAGCCACGTCTTTAGAAAGCCGCTGGTACCACACGATGGTGTACCAGGTGTGGCACCAGCTGTTCAGCATATTATTGACTGGCAACTTTCTGCTATTGGCATGGTCTTTCCATCTAGACTTTTCCGTGAAGAAGATAGAACAGCGTTTTGCAAACCGGAAAGCCTCCGGTGGTGTTTGTTCGCTGGGGGGAGACTGTTTGCCTCACGAGTTGTTCCACTAAAGAAGCATTTTCTTATAAAGGGGGTACTGCGTGTTATTGGGTACTCGAGCACATTGGATCAATTACTAAGTGTTACTTGCATTAATTTCATTTCTTGGCTATGCTGCCCCATCGCTTTCCAAAGAAATATCCTCGTTTACCCCTTACACAGCATCGTCATCGTTTTGTCGGAAGCTGTGAAGGTGTATACTTTTGGCCCTTCCCCACAACTTGTATACGAATCAAACACGTGCTCCAATCCTCTAGGCTTGTGTCACATATGTCATGCAGTGGATAATCCGCTGATTGCAGTTCCTGGTCGGAGACCTGGCACAGTCCTCCTGGTTAGTGTGGGAAACGTGGATGGTACACCAGTGACCCCCTCTTCAACCACCACCAGTCCTACTTCTACCGGAGCAAAAAACATGCCCCCAAGAGAAATAGCGGCCCACGAAAACGCGCTGGCTGCACTAGAGATGAACTTCCCGGGTACTCTTCTGGCTACTGCGTCTCAGAAAGGTACTCTCGTTCGTGTGTTCGCCACAAAGGATTGTCAGTTACTACACGAACTCCGTCGGGGCATCAATCCAGCGACGATTACTTCTATCTCTTTCAATCACACTGGAGATTTATTGTGTGTTGCAAGTGAACGAGGTACAGCGCATATTTTTAGCCTGTGGAAGGATAATGCATCCGATCGCAAACGTCGAAGTCATTCATCCAATTCTAGTTGCCGAAATAGCGGGACCAATGGATCTGGGTAAGTTGGTCTTACTTTTCAGTCTGCTATCTAGCATAACCGATCAGCAAACTCTGAAGCGTCCGTCCGCATTTGACATGACTGTTTATTCACCTATTCTTGATTACATACGTTGAAATCAGC